AATATTCTGCAACAATGCATAAGATTCTAATAAGATTACTGACATTTAGAAATGGGAGGAAAGGAGCTAAAGGTGTAGGGAAGGTGTGATACGTAGGGGAAGAACAAAAAGGGAAAAGAAAAAAATGTGAGAGAATGAAAAGATGAAAATAAAGTGTTTGTAGATGGGGAGGGGAGGAGGGGGTGAAGGGAGGGCAGAGGTAAGGGGAAAAAAATGAGAATCAAGACTTGCCATGTAAAGGTACATGATCCCAACAATGAATGTAACTGTACTGTATCCCTAAATGTACCAATAAACTCAATTAAAAAAAAATTTAAAAAAAAAAAAAGTAACAGAGGAGCAAAGAATGGGGTCTATGGAGCTACTCACAATGACTGACTTTATAACCAAACATGACAGAATGCTGGGCTCATTATGAAGCACTGTAATTATATTGGTATAACACAAAATAATGCAATTAAAAACGATTTTTAAATGCATCTGTAATCCTAGTGCTTGAATCAAAGTACATCTAATTAGGGAAGAAAATGGATGGTTCTGGGGATATTGAGCCTTTCAATATTCTTTGAAAGGTTGTAGTCTGTCAGCACTGATTCTCTACTGATCTATTTGGATGCCAATATTATTGCTTTCTTTTACCTTCATCCAACCTGGATTCTTCCCCATAACCCCAGCATTAGTTATACAGTGATACCTTGCTACTCATCATTACCTGCCTCCAGGAAGCTTGCCGAGTGCCCAAAAACTATGAGTACCAAACAAATTCCTTTGGCTGCCAAGGGTAACAAGTCATGGGATTATCAATACCATCAAGTTCTAGCTTGAGCGTTGAGTACCCAACAAATGGTGGGGACAGGGACAGAACTTTCACAGCAGAATACAATGAGTACTAAATCTGATGAATTTCAACGCAGCCAAATCCCAAGGTATGACTGCAATTACTGTTGTCTTTTCACATGGAAAAGGAGAAATCATATAACGTACAAGACACACAGAGAGAGAGAGAGAGAGAGAGAGAGCGCGATTTCTCTGTATTAATGAGTAAACAGATGACAGACAAACAATGGAAACATAAATAATT